ATTAGGATTTGGAGTTGACCTGTAATACTGCAAGAAAGTGCAGAGATGTTTCTTGACTTCTTTCCCCTCTGTCTCGCATTTTGAAAGTGCCCGTTTGAATGTATCTACGAAACGTTCTGCTTGTCCATTAGAACTTGGATGAAACGGTGGAGTATGCAGATGATTGATTCCCTGTAAAAGACAAAAGTTTTGAAACTTTTCTGAAGTGAACTGAGTTCCATTATCTGAAACTAGACTTTCAGGGACACCAAATCTTGCAAAAATTTCTTGAAGAATATCAATAGTTCGCTGAGCTGTGATTGTTTGCGTTGGAACTATTTCAGGACATTTTGAAAAGGCATCGACCAAAACAGGATACTATTCTCCATTTAACGGTCCTGCGAAATCTATGTGAACTCTTTGCCATGGTTTTTCAGGAAGAGACCAGCTTGATAATGGTACCTTGATAGGTGATTTCGCGGCGAGTGTGCAATTTCTGCAATTTCTGACAAATTCTTCTATTTGCTGATCTATCCTTGGCCAATATACGTACGAACGTGCTATGATTTTCATTCGCTCCATTCCAGGATGACCCTTATGCAATTGTTTGAGAATTTGTTGATGGAATTGTTGAGGAATTACAACTCTGTCGTTGAAAAGAAGACATTCTTGAATCACGGTTAGTGAGTTTCGACGGCGGAAAAATGGTTGTAAATCCGAATCATCTACATTCTGAGGCCATGAATTCAAAGTAAAGTTGATAACTTTTTGTAAGATGTCATCTTCTTTAGTTGCTTCCTTGATTTGTTGAAATGTGATTGGAAAGGACTGAAGTGATTCATTGAGGACTGAGAATAAATCTGTTTCCATTTTGACAGAAGCGATTACAAAATCCTCTTCAGGACGTTGTTGATGACTGATTAGTCTTGATAAAACATCCGCATGTCCAAATTCTGTCGTCTTGATGTATTCGATTTTAAAATCGTAAGATAATAATTGAAGTGCCCATCGTTGAAGACGGTTGGCTGTATGCGACGGAATTCCTTTTTTGTTACCAAATATTTGAAGTAATGGTTTGTGATCCGTTTGAAGGATGAATTGTCTTCCGAAAATCATTCTATGAAATTTCGTGACTGCGAAAATGATTGCTAATGCCTCTTTTTCAATTTGACTGTATTTACGTTCTGCTTCTGTGAGACTCCTTGAGGCGTGACTGATTGCCTTGATCGAATGATCTGGAAATCTATGAAGAATGCATGCTCCTAATCCTTCATTTGAAGCATCTGCTGCTACAATAATCTCATTCTGAGGATTGTAGTGAGTTAATAAGAGCTTTGAAGAAAGAATTCTCTTAAATTGATTAAAAGATTCTTGACATTTTGGAGACCAGTTCCATTTAGAATCCTTTTTTAAAAGATTATCCAAAGGACGTCTAAGAATGTGCATATTTGAAATGAAACGTGCATAATAATTGATTGCTCCTAAAAACGAACGTAATGTGGTTAAATTATGTGGTTCAGGCATGTTTTTAATTGCTTCGACTTTTGTAGGATCTGGATGTAATCCTTGTCCATCGATGACATAACCCAGATAATTGATCTGTGTAGTAAAGAAACAACATTTCTCTATTTGCAGATGTAGACCATAATCCTTTATTCGCTCTAATAAATAAGTTAAGTTTTGATTATGCTCTTGAACTGTAGCTCCACCCACAACAATATCATCAATATAAGCAAAAACGTTTTCTAGTCCAGATATCATTGAATCCATGATTGATTGAAATTCACCTGGAGCTATGGTGACTCCGAAAGGTAAACGATTATAAACGTATAAACCTCTGTGAGTATTGATTGTTAGAAGATGCCTTGATTGTTCATCTATTTCAATTTGAAAAAATGCGTCTGACAAATCTAACTGGCTAAAATACTTACAGTTTGACAGTTGCGAAAATATTTCATCTGGTAGTGGAAGTGGGAATGGATGACGATTAGGTTCCAATGATTCGTTAAGTCCAGTTGAGAAATCCGGACAGATCCTAATCTTTCCATTTTTTTTTCTTACTACAACTATTGGAGTTGCCCAGTCTGAATACTTGATTAGTGAAATGATTCCATTTTGTTCCAGTCTTGTAAGCTCTGCGTCGACTAAAGGTAAAATTGCGTAAGCAACCGGTCTCTTAGGTCTGAAAATAGGTTTTGAGTTATTTTTTTAAATTCAGTTTGACTTTAGTTTTCGTGCAGCGACCTAATTGAGAGGAAAAGACCTCTTTAAAATTTTCTTTAATGAAGGATATATCAAAGTGCGTCGAATCTGCTTGAGAATGGATTTTAGAACAGAAGCTATTGAGACTGCATTGCCATAAATCGAAAGCTGCGATCCAATCGAGACCCATGATGTTGAGATCCGAATTTGCTGTTACGAAACATAGTTGTTTGATAACTCCGTTCAAGGTTACTTCACAATTAATTTCTTCATTGAAATTGATCTGATTTCCCGACGCGTCACGTGTGACATGAGACGTTGAACAACCTTTAGGCTTTCCCAACAAAAACCAAATCTTTTCTAATATAATGGTAATATCTGATCCCGTATCAAGTTGCAGTTTAATTGGTTGATTATTGATCGAAATATTCACAAATTTGCGAGTAAGATTTGAATTAACTTGATTGACCTTAATCGTCTTGAC